CCAGTCACAGCTGCCAGTCAGAAGTGGTACAGGGCTCTTACTGGGGCCAGAATGCAGGGTTTGCTTTGTAGCATAGTGGGCTTCAGTGGTTTTGTGTGTTGCTCTGTGAGTAATGAGGCAGGTAGTTTGCTACCAGCTACAGTATTATACAGTAATTGCTCAGTCATCCTTTCATGAGTGACTTATCAGAGCCAAGGACTTTGGTGAAGGTTAAACCAAAAGGTAAGGCTTTTTGGTGTTATTGCTTTGTGAATAAAATGGCTGATTTTTGCTGTACATTTTCACTCTAGCTGACTCTCTTTTTGTTGTATATTTGGGAATTAATTCCAACAACTCAGAAACTATTTTCTATACTTTTGGGTCTTACTGATCACATTTCCCTAGCCACATGTGGAAACAGGTTCTCACTGCCAGGCCTTGGTTTCTCTCTCCTAGGTAAACACAGAGATCTGCCTTCCTGCAATTATCTTTATCAGCAGGCATTTGGTCAGTGTCTAGGTTCCAGGCAGAAGCATCCCATCTAAGATATTCACAGATATCCAAAGACAGAATTACTACTTGCTCAAACCTGCTGATTCATAGCTGCTCATGTAGAATAAGTTTGCCCTGGTTTTACCTCACTTATAGATAAGGAATACAATGACCCAAAAGCAACCTTCATCAAAAGATACTTAACTCCTTACACTCACCTTCACCTTAGTTTACTGATGATTGTAGTTCAGGAAATTTATTGCTTGTGTTTTACTTTGAAGGACAGCAGAAGAGATAATTAACTGAAACCCAGAGAAAGAGTTCCTGCTGGTGCCACAGACCCACAGCACCCATGAATAGAATGACTGATAACAATATACCCTAGAACTGTTAATTTAGATGCCTGGGTCTCATCTCCTCTTTGTTTCTACTGCAAAGAGCAATAAGTGTAAATTCCAGACCTAGGCCCATAGAAATTGCAGCATCTGGTGAATGTGATAATCAGATAGGAACCATTAACTTCCCTCTGACGGTTTACATAGGTTGCCTGGTTACCTGATATCCTCTAGGCATGCTGGGCAAAAGAATTTCAGCTCTGGAACCTGCTAGGGCTGAGGAATTACTGGGTATAAGGGTAAATATTACTGGGAATGTTTGTAACAGGAGGATTAGAAATAAGGAATAAAGAAGAATAAAGAAACATGGATAGACAGATCTGTTGTGAGTAAATTTGTTAACTCTTAAATTTTAGGTTTATTCCTTTATTATGGTGTCTTTAATTGAGCCCTGAGGGGGATTCTTAAGAGATGGACTCTTGAGTGTGGAGCATGAACACTCTGGGATAGCACAGCATGTTGAGTGAGGGGCTGCTGCCCACATATGACGAGGAATAGATTGTGAACCTCTGAAGCTGGTGTTTTGTTGCTCTCTGGGTTGGTGGGGGAGTCTGCAGCCATATTTGGTGTCCTGTGAGGTTTCATGTGATTCTTGAAACTCCCTGGACCCAGGTACCTGCCTCTGAATAGCTTTGCTTCATGGGCTGCCACTGTGCACAGCATTGGGAGCAAGGAGCCATGTGTTGATACGTCTTTGTAGTTCAGGTCAACATGCTTTTGGTACATCCATGGAAATGGGTAAACAAATTCAGAGATACCTAGTTTCTCTAGCTCTTCTAGAGCTAGAGCTAGTTTCTAGTTTCTAGAAGCTCTTCACTTCACATTTCATATTTAGGTGAAAGACACTTTTGTATTTAATTTTTTGGAAGTTGTAAATGGCAACTCTTATATTGGGTAGTACTTGACTTCCTGTGATATGGAAGAAAAAAATGGTAATATAAAGGATTTCCCAGTGATCAGGAGATAGTCACAGAAAGTAAAATTTTGCTAAGGGAGGGCTGCCTCTAAAATACCCTGTAGGTGGAAGTTTCTGTCCTACCAGCAGCTGCCAAATATCCAGCAGCAGCTTTGGAAACAATTGACTTGGAGGGTTAACATTCCTTATAATTGCTTGGTTGGAAGCTCAGACCTATTATTAACTAGCTCTTACAATTAAATTAGCCCATAATTCTAATGTATGTTTAACCATGTAACTTGGTACATTTTCTCATTTGGCATTCTCTGCTTGCTTCCTCTATGTCTGGCTGGTAACTCCTGACTTTGTCATTCTCCTTCCCAGGATTCTCAGTTTGGCTTTTCCACATAACTTCCTGCTCAGTTACTGGCCAATCAGCATTTTATTAAATTAATTCAAATGACAAAGCTTTTCAGTGCACAAGTGTTTTATTCCACAGCATTTCCTTTTTTTGTCTAATTGAAAAGGAAGATTTTTAACTTTAACAAAATAAGACTATATAAAAAACAATTATTAATTAAGAATTACAGTAGCTATATATAATCCATGTGCATTTGGAAATAGTAGAGAAAATAATTGTCTATCTTATCTTGGGAGTCTAAAGTTTTGTATCTCATTAACTTTTATTGAAACTAAAGAAAACTTTAATTATAACTATTTAGATATCAACTCCATCTAAGACCCTAGAAGGTTAAAGTTACCTATTGATGGGTACCTTATCTTGCCTGGACAGTCATCCAATGTTCCTCTGCAGCATTGGGGCATACAGTTATGGCATACAGGACTAGCATGTCTGACAGACTTTGCTGTACAGTAGGACATTTTGAAGGACTTGTAGTGGCATTTCAATTGTATTTAAATGAATAAAGCTTGCCCAGAGATTGTGAGAGTAAAAACAGCCACATTGGTCGGCCTTACAGTCAGGGAGTGGTAAAACGCACCTTTAATCCCAATAGCCACACAACTGCCATAGAAACTGGGTGTGCGTGCCTTTAACCCCATGGTGCACACCTTTAATCCGAGATCTAGACAGGATCATAAAATGGAAGGAAACAGCTCTAAGACACAGTCTCAATCTGAGATTCCTGGAGGCAGAATCACCATTGTTTGGGCTGAAGTCAAGGTAAGAGCCAGTGACTGGCTGAATTGCTTTTTGGATCTTCCAGTTGAACCCCAATTTCTCTCTTTGAGTGTTTATTAATCATACTTCAAGGACTGTTCTACCTTGTTTTGACAAACTTCAACAGTGACTTGCTTTTGTGTCCTGCTTGTCCAATTTGGACAGTATATGATCAGCATTCAAGGCAAGGGTAGTTTAAGTTCTTAAAACATTTTAAATGGCATATTCTATAGGGCTTTGAAATGTCTGAAGATTGCCTATTTAAAATATATATCTAAAATATTTTAAATGCTATATTCTGTAGATCTCAGACATGTTTGAAAAGGACCTGTCTGTCTAAAATATATCTCTATGTGGCTTTTAAAACATACCTAACATGACTACAAGTTCAATTGTAATAGGTTACTAACTACTATCTTACATTTATTTGGGTTTTGTTGTTGTTGTTGTTTTGGTTGTTGTTCTAGACAGGGTTTCTCTGTAATTTTGAAGACTGTCCTGAACTTGCTCTATAGTCCAGTCTGGTTTTGAACTCACAGAGATCCACCTGCTTCTGCCTTCTGAGAGCTGGGATTAAGGCATGCACCATCACCATCTGGCCAAGCACTTTTTTGTGGGTTTTTCGAGGCAGGGTTTCTCTGTATAACACAAGTTTTGCTGGTACTCATACCATAGAGCAGGCTGGCCTTGAACTCACAGAGATCTGCCTGTGTACTCTTTCATGAAGCAGGAACCTCGAAGGACCATCTCACCTTTAGGCAAGTTCAGCAGTCATCTCTCTGTGGGTACTGTATGTCCAGTTTATGCACCAGTCCAGGCAAGAACAGCTTTTTTGCCCAAATGGCCAACCAACTCAATAAGGAGCCTCTTCGATGCCCATTGGTGCAGCTAGGAGCAGATGTGTCTTGTTTTTATGAAAAGCCCTAAGTTATTAAAATATTTTAAATGCCATATTCTGTAGTCTTTAAAAGATATGAAGAATGCCTATCTTGCTGAAATATATCTCTATATATCTAGAAAATCTAACATGACTACAAGCTTGACTATTATCGATGATTATCCACTAACAACCTATATTTCCTAATTATACATTACATTTTTAAATGAACTACACAATCACAATACCTTAATCAAGTGCAGAAATATACATATAACAAGATTGGCCTTAAATTTATATCAATAAATCAAAATCCATACCAATGCAAATTATTCATATCTATATAATATCCCCCTTTAAATGTAAAAGAACATTTATAAACAATATATAGGAATATGGATGTAGTTATTTCTCTCCAAACTTCTTCTTGCTATATGGGGGTGCTGTTAATCAGGTCCTTTATGGTACATCCTATATCCTAGGTTCATCTCAGTCAGCAGTTGAGTGAAGTATTTTTCTGAAGGTGTTTATGACAATCTTTTAGGAGGGTATGATCTATCATACCAATCCACAGGATCTCATCTTCTGTGAAAACAAAAGAAGAACCTCTTTTTCAAAGCATCATATCCTTAGACCCAAATTTTGAAGTCAAGATACCTTTATAATATACATGCTTAGCAGCATACAATAAAAAGTCTCTCTGTGCTTAGCTCTTTCACAGTCAAAAAATGTAAAGAAAACTCAGTAATATATACAATCCAGATTCCCTGTGAATTTTCCATTTTTACGTGGCTTATTTTTCTTTATTTCTTTTTTTTTATATAAACAGTTTATTTACTCTAAACAGCAACACAGACAAAACGCCATATAAACACAAAGGAAGTGGTGCAGAATGGAGACGCTGGCCAACTTTGGATCTGAGGCTCATAAGCAACTGTAACATGAGGGCCAGCTTGTTGGGGTTTCCGTCCCGCCCGGTACC